GCATCTATATAGGAATAGCGAAATAGCATCGATAACGTTCAAGAATTTTAGTAATAAATAGCAATTTTTGTATTCTTTGGATCATTTTGATCCCCAGCACGTACGTAACTTTATGTGGCTTAATTCAGCGTATTGTATTTAACATTTTATTTGTATGTATTGTGCGTTGTTTTTATGAAATAATTTTTGCAATAGTAACGAGATATTAATTTCTAAATATGGTCGAATAAGCAGGTAAATTCGACGCATAAGACAACTTTAAAATATTTTTCAGTGTTTTTACGAAATATCTTATAAAGATGTTCTTGAAGAACTCTTAAAGATATCTTAAAATTATTTTATGCGTCGATTTTAGACATTCTACACATTGTAACTAAAAAACATTGTCAAAATTATAAAATGGTAGAGCTTTTCGACTCATGGCGAATTCGATTGGAAGCACTAGTGCACACTGGTGCACATTAAAGCCGTTGTATACTGATTTAATTTGAGTATAAAAGTGAAATGCAAATATTTTGAACTATAAAATACATATTTTATCTAATTGTACAATAAAATTGAATATTTCAAGATTTAATCGATTTCTATGTTTATGTATAAACATATCTTTACGTTATTTTGTATATGACGGCTTTAATGTACACCAGTACGCACTCAGTGCGTCCAATCGAGAATTCGTTATTAGTTTAGTTCTCTCTACCTGTCCATCTGCCTACGAGCGTCGGGAAAGATACTAGATATCCAGTATAATTATGAAAAATTTTACATATGTTAATATTTTACATAATATTTTACATAATATTTGAATTTTCTTACAAGCGAAGTTTCACTGATTTTCGTGTTTAACAACATATTTAATGGAGAATCAAATCGGTTCTGGACAGTTGTGAAACTTCCCTTGTTAATATATTTTATTTAAGATTTAATTAAGATTTTCTTAATTTTTAAAACATGAACACATATTTAGTTTTGAAGTAATATCTATAATATAATGAATAATTTCCAGTTTAAAAAACAAATAATAACATTCATTAAGATTTTGATATTTTCTAATAATGAAAATGTTTCTTGATATTTTAATTAATTTTTGTAAGAGTTATTGTAAAAAAATGAATGTTCAAATAAATAAAAAAAACAAAAAATGTAATAGACAGTATAGGTATAAGAAAATGATGTTAATATTATGTTATTATCGGAAGTATTGCTAACTTTAAACAATTATTTAAATGATACTCATATATTTTGTGTATTCATACTTTAAGTTTAAGTACAATAATAATTAAAATTTATTCGATCACTTTTATTGTTTGTATTTACTCCATTGTTTGTATTACTGTGAGGAGGAAGATCATGCACAGATAATGTATTCTGGCTCTAAAGCAAATTATCGGAAAAAAAACAGCTGTGAAGTGCATTTAACATTCGTGGACCTGCAAAAAGCATACGATAATGTGCCAGTCACCAAATTATAGACAATATTGCGAGAATATAAAATATAAATTATACTTTGATAAAGGCCCTACAAAATCTATATGACAATTCCACATTAAGAATAAAAATGGGAAAGTATTTAACAAAGAAGTTTGCTGTTATCAAGAGTTTAAGACAAGAGTGGTGCATATCGTCAACTTTATTTAAAATGTATACATCTGCAGCCCTTAAAATGTGGAAGAGAAAAGTTCACGGCATGGGTATGGAATTTAATGACGGTTGTCTCTATACTTTACAATTTGCCGACGATCAAGTAGTAATAACTAATAATAAGGAGGATATGGAATATGTCATGAGAAAACTGCTGGAAAAATACAGAAACTGGGAACTCTATCACAGTGAATATTGATAAGACCAAATATTTATGCGTGGGCACAGAGGACGACGAATTACTCACGGAAACCAGAGAAAGGATTCAGTCTTGTAGAGAATATGATTACTTATGAATAACAATGAAGAGACATGAAGAGTTACAGATAAGTATAGAAGGAAACTTGAAGATGTGAAAATAGATGTAATGAGAAGATCTCTAAGAATATCAAGAATGAAAGGATAGAGAAATGAAAATATAAAACAAATGGGCATTGAAGGGACAATAAATGATGATATCAACAAGAAATAACTCCTATAACACAGACATATACGATGAATGCCAGATTCAAGTGTAAGATATTTAACAGAGGAAAATTACAAAAAGAAAAAGGCTAAACGTAATTCACGTATCTCTTCTTTATCCTTTGATTTAAACAAACTTTTATTTGAATAACTTCTCCAACAATACACTTTTACTTGTAATCTACAAAAGCAATAGTGGCTTCAAACATACTATGTTACTGAATTCGCGTTCTGCTACAAACCGTGCGTTCTTTACTCGTACTCCGGTTTTTGACAGTTCCGCTGTGCGGTCGAGCGCCGCCAATTTCGATTGCTAAAACTAGGTTCGATAAATATAGTTATAATCCTACGGATCAGATGTCACCCAAAGGTTCTCGGCAACAGATCACGGCTATTTACATCTAAATATTATAAGCCGAAATCAGATTACGCATTGAAGATTCAGATTGAAGGTTGAAGATTAAAATTTGACCAGTGAGGAATTTTAGAAATTTTAGCTCCTATTATTTTGATTGATCAAATTTTAATTTTTCAATCTTTAATCTCAATATTTAATGCGTAGTCTGATTTAGGCCTTACAAAGTTATCAAAACGGGTTCTGGTGACCTTTAGAATGTCGAAGATGAAATAGACTACGCATAACATGGGAGTAATATAAGAAAGGCAGAGCACAAGAAATCTAAACGAAATGGACTGGAAGGACCATATAGATGGAAATTGGACATCGGACAGGCAGTGTCAGAAGACATTTTACATCGATTATATATATGTATGTATGTATATTAAGTTTAATACATAAGTAAAGTAATATTTTAAAAAATATGTATTTCTTTTAATTTCTTACTGTTAAAAATTATTTCCTATAATATCTATAACGTGTGTAAAAAATTATTTATAAATAATAAAAAATTTGATTTACCATACACATAAAAAATAAATTAATTAAAATGTGGGTCAAATTGACCCCCACGCGAGCATTGTTAAAGAAGATTAACTCGACTACTAAAGGATTAAGGAATTAGATTGAAATTTTACCAATTAAAGCAAAGTTTAATATTTGTTTACTTTCATCCCTAATAGCACAGATTTCCAAGGGACGTTTCAAAGAACATTCAGAGGATATCCCTATGTCCTAGGAACGTTCACCAGAACGTCCCTCGAATAAAGTGTGCTATTAGGGATGTGATTGATCAAATTCCAATCCTCAATCTCAATTTTAATCTTTAGCCTGATAGGGATACTATTACAAACGTTGTTAATTAAAATTAGGAAAAAGGAAAAAAGAAAATGCTCTGTTTTTTTATTCAGGTACTCAATTTTTTCAGATTGTCACGAAATTATAGTTGACTCTAACATTAAGTAATCTCGCGTGTCGTGTTTGGCGCTGTTTCTATCGAATCATTATCTTATGTAACGGTACAATGTATATAATTAACATCTCTCTCTCTCTCTCTCTTTCTCTCTCTCTCTAATATTTTATGTACCTTCTTGCTACAGACTGTTGATATACTATAATTATGTAATTATGTTAAATTATTCTTAATTAAATACAACCCAGGAAAAAATATTTTATATGTAATTGTATAAAAGTATATAAAATTATATATATAATTTTATATATTTGTATATAAAAAAATGGACATGTTTTATATACAATTATATAAAATTATATATTTTTATATAATTTTTTTTCCCGGGAAAATAACATGTTAATGTATACAATGTGATAACAAAAATGTGAGGTGATTAGTTAAAAATAAAATTGCACTTGTATTATAAGTTATGTACAAGTTACATATGCGCATACATTTTAACTTTCTGCGCTGAAAAAAATATATTTTCGTGTTTTTATCATGTTATGTAAGTTTATTATTTGTATAAATAATCAAAAAGTAATTAAAAGCTATTAAAAGTCGTATAATTCAATCGTTCGTTATCAAAAAATAATCAAAAGCTGTTGAAAGTGGTATAATTTTTAATCGTTCGTTATGTGATCCAATAGATAATTTTGCTTACATTTTAAAATTATTTATTTTTCATTCTCATGACACATAACAATAAATCAAGTAAATATTGTTACTCTCCTATCCAAAGAACGTGGTAAAAATTATAATTTCTTTTTTTACCGCAATTACCACGAAACCTAAACATAAAAACTGTTAAAAAGTAAGAAAAGAGGATTTGATCACTCTCAGTCCTCTCCACAGATAAGTTGAATTGCTCATTATTTGAACTGTCATTTGTTCGCTTGTTTATATAGTTATTCATTTATTCAGTTGCAAATCTTTAATTTTATCAACAGATAACTTAATTCTTAAACTAAAGCTAAGAAAAGAAAAGCAACAAAGGAAACATTATATCATCAGTATTTTGTTTGTCTCTTGCTTCATGACAGACGACAATGCAAATGGCGATTAAATGTTATCTTTCTGACAAATTATCTAAGATCACTGCAGACTGATTTCAGAATGATATATTTTATGATACAGCATGTATACAAATTTTGTATGAATTCAAATAGTATTGTGCGACATGTGTCTTTAAATACATGCAACAGTTTCTTATCCCCACTATATATTATCTTGTAACTTAAACGATAATACAGATGTACAAATGTCAGTCTATCACCGTATGTAGCAACGTACAGCCTGCAATATGATATAATATCGAAAGTGTGTGATTCATTAGTTTACAAACACTCTTATTTAATAATTTATCGATAAAATTTAATCTAAGATTTAAATATTAACAAATCAAAATAAAAACTAAATTTAGTTTATATTAATCTAAAATATAATATTAAAAGGGATAAAGAAATTATAAAGGTACAAAAAATTAATAAAGTTTTAATAACTTTAAATTAATCGTTAACTCAGTTTATTTATTTTTCTTAGGTGATTTAGACTTCATATAAGAATACGAATAAAAAATGCGAGTGTTACTAGTGATTTCCTCTTTGTTGTTTTGCCTGTCGATTTGCCATGGATATCGTTTCCTCGGACTATTTCCCTTTCAAGGCAAAAGTCATTTTATTATGGCCGAGCAACTGATGAAGGGTCTAGTCAGGAAGGGTCATCAAGTCGATATGGTCAGCAAATTTCCTTTGAAGAAACCTTATCCGAATTACACCGATATCGTGACATTGCCAACAGCTATGCATTTGGTGAACAATATGTCGTTTGAACTAATGCAAAAAATGGTTACCTCAAATTTGATGTACGCCGTTGCGACATGGGGAGGAAACGACCTTTGTGAAATCTTAAGAAATCCAGAAATTAAAGAGCTATCCAAACTAAAGAATCCACCCTACGATGCTGTGATTATAGAGGTATACAATAGAAGGACGTTATTCTCTCTAAATTTATAGAGGAGAAGGTGGTATTATGGCCAGTGTATATATTGTGGCCTCCCTTAATATCTCCGCTATTATATAGGGAATCTTAATGATTACTTATGGAATTATTAGTTCAGTAGCTCGCCGTTACATCTTGACGCTAATAACGGGTGCATTCAGAAGCGACGACCGCTCACTGAGCGCTCACTGAGTAAAAAAGGGATTAATCTCTGATTAATGTTTATTTGTTATAATTTGTAATGTAAAATAACTTGTCTGTTATCGATAATCTTTAATATCATATTCCTTACTTATTTATTACTGTTTATTATTTCTCTAATGCCGTATTTGGGCCGTAAAGTTATAACCGCTCAGTGAACGGTTTTATTAGACTATATATATTTTATTAGACTATATGTATATATTTTGAGTTATGCAAATTTAAACAATAGCATAGCATCTTGCTAATGTGGCTCTCTATGGATATTGATTACTCACGACCTTTTTTTTGAGGTTTTCATATCAAAATAATTATTTGATAATCGATTGTAATTCTACTGTTAATCTATAGTTTATATTACGTGTACTATTTTTAGTACTGAGCAGCTTACATGCAGAAGTTATGTGAATGTATATACATTCATTTGCATATATTTTAAAATGTTTTACTTTTTTGTTAATTTTGTAATCAAATACTGTTTTCTAAATAAAATTAATATTTTCAGACTATTTTTATGAAAGGCCACATTATCATCCATTTTTTTTATTCGAGTCATTATGCAATGTCGCCACATTTTTATTAATAATATCCTAAATAATAAATATTTTATAACTTTGAGTCCAGAATCGATTCGACAACATTTTAACGAATGTAATTGTCAAGTTTTAAACTTAAATATTAATTATTAACAAAGTTATTGTGTAAAATGTAATTGGGGTGCTATAATACCACCTTTTCCTCTACTAATTTTCTATCACAACATTAATCTTCTATCTAATTCTCTTACATAAACAGAAGGTCAATAGGCAGTTAGCAGTTGCTTCTGACGTAAGAGATGAACTTTTAATTCTTCCTTCAATGTTCCAACACGAACTGATGCAATGATCATTCATATTATGACAACCATGACATGTATAAAACAATTGTTTTAAATGATAACTTAAATGATAATCAAAGTGACGATTGTAACTTTGCTTGATTAACATATGTATCTCTTTTCGCATCTTGTCTCATTTCACAGCAAATTTTTACGATTCAATGGAATATAATTTGTTTAAAATCAAAGTGGACAAATTAGATATAAATAATATATAAGTTTAACGTAGAAAACTTACCAATTTTCTATGTTAAAATGTTCATTGTCATATCCTGTTAAATAAATGAAAAGAAGTTTAGGATTCTTAAAAAAGGCGTGTAAATAGTTCTTTTTAGAAATATTTAAAAGGAATATGGTATCACTAAAAATAAACATTAATTGATACAAATTCGAAATTATGTATATGTGATATGAAAATTAAATATCGAAATATCGTAACACTATGCACTTATTAATATGTAGATTACATAAGCATAAGTATTTGCAATATATTGCACAAGTTGAATAAAAATGACCGTTATTTCCCTTATCTCGGCATTTTAAATTATAGCACAACATTTTTTATAAACGTCTAGAACGACAAAGAGAATGACAAAATTTGTTTGTTAAATTTACTTGCTTCATCTAGGCTGAACAATCGAATACATTAGTACATTTACAGCAAAAAATTACTATAAATCAAACTAAGTATTTATTATATAGATTTATAGATACTAAAAACGATGTCGCAAGCCAAATTCCACCATCACGTTTGATTTTATAAATAATTATGACTTAATAAAAATTGTATTTAATTTAGGGAGATTATCAGCGTCGTAGATTGATTGTGCTGAAAGTCCCAAGGTTTCGATGCATAGTCATATCTGAGACAAATTGATTTAATATCGGACTATCCGAATGTTTCGGCGCGTAATCAAATCTTAAATTTAAATTAACAATATATATTATATTATTCGAAACATCTAACTTTGACCATTCGTTGACGTTCTTTATCATATTTAATAAAAATTGTTTTTTTACGATATTTAACATTTTTTAATAAAAAGAGTTATCGTAAAATTTTGATTAGAAGTCTTGAATTTTATTGTTTATTTCTTATAAATTTTTTAAAATTTTCAATATCTTATTTATTAAAAAAATGTTTCAGATAAAAGTTGGTCTGTGTATATGTATTAATAGCCACACACTAGAAATTATAAATACATATATATATGTATGTAAATGTGTATATATACATCTTTCTAGTTTAGACAAAAATTTTTAAAGTATCGCTCAGTACGAGTAGTACGCGGCTTTGTCACCAGAGGGACGTAGGGGAGTTCAGTTTCTCCTAAGAAGGAAACCACTCAGCTTACAATAAAAGGCGCAGCGTTGGTTTTAAACTTGGAAGACAAAAATAAATAAGAAATGCATACACAAATTTGTAACTATGTATTATAAAGCTTTAAGAACAATAAATAAATTAAGTGAACTAAGAAAATATAGTAATATTAACCATTTATAAATTGTTTATATGGTTAATGTACTATATTTTCTTAGTTCACTTAATCTAGTATTCTTATTAGAATTTAATAATATGTATATAGTTGAGGCGCTATTTCACTACAAATTTATAGTTACTGATACGACTTTTTTCTCTGAATGTATATATGTATATGGTATATATACACATAAATATATATGTACCCATATATGTGTATATATATGGCTTCATCATTATAGGCAAAAAATTTTCTATCTTTGTGAGAAATATCCAGTATTTAAATCCTTTATAACATGGTCAGGTAAAATATTGAAATAACAAAATTGAATTTCACAGGGAGTGAATAATACATGACTTCTGACTAAAATGTCAAGATAACATTAACTGTTTTTTTTTTTACATAAAATGTCAAATATCTCAAAAAAGTAATTTAGGCTCAATTTCGGAAACATGTCGTGTTGGTGAATTTGGCTTGCGACATTTTTATTTTCAGTTCAAAAATCTATAAGAAACATTTTGTCTTGTTCTAATAAGTTAAGAAAACATTTTTTGTTAACTGGTGTCATTACCCAAATTACATCGCTGTTATACACGTGATGCAATATTATATGTAATTATTATTTTCTGATTTCATTTGATAAATGGAAAAGCCTCGACCTAATAATATTCGTTAGTTGGTTAGATAATATCTAATATTTCAAATTAATGAAATCTTTTAATGATCATTTACTTAACTATTCATATGTTTTTTTAGATTTTTGGTGCGCAATGTTTCAGTGTCATTGCTCACATATTAAAAGTTCCTTTGATTGGGATCAGCACTACGTCGTTGTACCCGTGGCTATATGACACAATCGCTCAACCTGAGAACCTGGCCTTTGTGCCGAGCAACATTTTAAGTTTGTCCGAACCCATGAATTTCTGGCAACGTTTGTATAACACCGTGCACACAATCTTCAGCAAATGGCATTTTAATTATCTTACGACATGGGAGCAAGATAAAATAATAAGGGAGAATTTCGGGCCAGACATACCGAGCGTACGGGAATTGGAAAAGAAGTTGTCGCTGGTCCTCATCAACTCTCACATCGCGTTAAATGGGATACAGCCGAAAACACCTGCTGCGGTGGACGTGGGGGGAATCCACGTTCAGGACGAGGACGAAACATTGCAGCCTGTAAGTCAACTTTTATGACCCGTTTTCGTGGTCGTTTTCACTTTTTCGATGTAGCGCATGCTAACGAATCACAAACTCGCGCGCATGATATTCGGTAACGTAAGTAACGCTAATAATACTCCTCCATAAAATGTTTCTTTTTTCAAGGATTTCTCTGGAAATGTTTATTGGAGTTTTGCGTGAAGAAATAATTAAAAAAAGAAAGCTATAAGAGCGAGATTTCATAGCGTAAAACAGTATCATTTCCTCGTTTCTCATCTGTCAAAATTACTTTGTAGACAGTTTTTTTTATAATAACAAATTATTTGTTTATGTTTAGCTCATCGATTAATCATAACATGATAATTGTATTAACATCGAAATTTTTATCGTTTCTTAAGGAGATCCTAAAGCAAAGCGCGAAATCCGACAAACTCATTAGATGTCACTGTTTTTCCAGCGCATCGACATGTCTGTATATGTATACTACCACACCAATATCTCACGCAACCTATGATACATTCAGTCGCACATTCGTGTCAATTTTTGTATAACAATTTCGTCGCGATAAAGCGTCTAAGTCTAATTTTAAGAACCCGACGTTATTTGTTCATGCAAACTACGTGTTTGTGGATCATCGTTTCGTAAGTACAGGTTGGAAAATTTTCGTATCAAGCAAATGTTGTCACGACTTGACAGCTTCAGACGCCATGTTACACTAAGAAATGGTAAAAAATATATCAATTTTGAAATTTTTGGTCGTTCTCGGTATAAACTACACCTCACAAATCATATTAATGTATATACTTTAATCCTGGAAAAGGATTTTCGCGAATTTGTGAAAGAGAAAAAGGTATTTGTTATATACACAAAAATTACGATTTAGTCGATAATACAGGCGGCTTTAGGATCCCCTTGCCGAGAACGACCAAAAATTTCGAAATTGATATATTTTTTACCATTTCTGAATGTAACATGGCGTTTAAAGCCATCAAGTCATGACAACATTTGCTTGATATGAAAATTTTGCAAGCTATACTTACGAAATAGTGATCCACAAACACGTAGTTTGCATGAATAAATAACGTCGAGTTCTTAGAATTAGACTTAGACGCTTTATCGCGACGAATTTGTTAAACGAAAATTGACACGAATGTGCGACTGAATGTATCATTGGTTGCGTGATAGAATGTATCATAGATATTGGTGTGGTAGTATATACAGACAAGTCGATGCGCTGGAAAAACAGTGACATCTAGTAATTTTGTCGGAGTTCAAGCTTCGCTTTAGGATCGCCTTAATATCATGCAATATTTCGCAATACAATATCGCGATAACGTCTTTCTAACAGCAAAAATATGGAATAGTTCGAACACAATGTCTATCACATACATGGTGAACTATACGTCTTTTATTATAAAGGATAGTCCTTTATTTCAAGTAGCTGTCTCTTAGATTTATTTTTTAAACTCAATTTTAATCTTTTCAAATAATATTATTTTAATAATATTACAAGAAATTCATTTCTAATTAGCATTCCAATATCTAATATCAGAGTGTTTCACGAGGAAGGTCAATATCTTGGAAGGTGATAGTATCGATCATTTTAAGCAAAAATATTCATATGAACATGTATCCTATTTCGAACGGTTTTTGAGTTTGAACGAATTTGGCATGCAATATTGCCACTTCTTTTAGTTCACTTACTTCTTTTGGCGTCGCTGTTTATTTTTTGTTTTCGCTGTGACCTGTTAACCATTTACAATGTTACAATCAATACAACAGTCAGTGTTGTTTGTAACGTTGTAGAAGCGTTGTTAAAAATGCCGCACATATTTACACATGCCGAATATGCAGATATGCTGTATGTTTACGGCTTCTGCGATGGTAGCCTTTGCTGCTGTTAGAGAATATCATCGCTTTCCTACACGCAGAATTCCGAATCGGAGAGTGTTTTTCAAGATTTTCAATAGATTGCATGAAAGTGGTACGCTTCCTAGTGTTCATGTTATATCGCCTTATCTCGGAAACCATTCGAAATAGGGGCACATGTTCATATGAACATTTTTACTTAAAATGATCGATACTATCATCTCCTAAGATATTGACCCTTCCTCGTGGAACATCCTGTATGTAGTTTAGGAATAAAATCCTAAAATTTTCAGCTTTGTCATTTATTTTCTTTAAGCAAATATGGTCATATTATACGTAATCATATAGCTCATTTATAATAACACGACTTTGTGGATGCTGTTGACTTACTAGCGAAATATCGTAATATCCCAAGTAACACATTATGATACAAGTCCCAGTAACAAGTCATGATAACATCAAAATGACGTCAAAATGACATCAAAACGACATCATTTTGACGTCGTTTGGACGTTATCGTGACTTAGTTCTGTTACTTGGGATATGTATCTTCTCTTCGTCTAAAATTAATTCTAATAAACGCTTAATCATATGACGCAGTAGCGAACATAAACACATGAAATAAAAATATAAAACGAGCCGCATGACCGCATGATGCGTGAATAACATATATACAGGGTGTTTGAAAAGTAATGAAAAATCTTTCGCATAGGGGCAGAATGGACTAAACTGAGAAGAAAAGTCCTCTACCATTTTACAATTTTCGCAATAGTTAACAAGATATTAATTACTAAAAACTGTCGAAAATTTATCTTCAATAATTTTTTACTCAAATACTATCAACTTTACAAAAAAAAAAAAACTGAAAGAGATAAAAATTATTTATTTTCTTCTCATAAAACTCTAAGAATTTTTTCAGAATTTTTTATCAACTTTTTAGTATTGCATTTTCTTATTTTTACCAACATGAGAAAATACGGTATTAAAAAATTCTAAAAAAATTCTGAAAAAATTCTCAGAACCTTATGAGAAGAAAATAAACAATTTTTGTCTCTTACAGTTTTTCGGTAAAGTTAATGATATTTGAGTAAAAAATTATTGAAGACCAATTTTTAGTAATTAATACCTTGTCAACTATTGCGAAAATTGTAAAATGGTAGAGGACTTTTCTTCTCAGTTTAGTCCATTCTACCCCTATGTGAAAGATTTTTCATTACTTTTCAAACACCCTATAATAATAATAATAACTTATTGACGTGCAGTACAAACTATTACAGAGCAATGAGACAAAAGACACTAGTTATACTGTAAAAAATACTCAGAGTACAGCTAAATCTGAGGGTTGCGCGATTTGAGTTAAGTGCGGTATAATCACGTCAAGAAGAATGAAAACCTAATTAGTTGAATAACTTCACTACTTAAACGAATAACTTCACGTAGTAAAATGTACTCAAAAATTTAATCAAAATATATGATTAACCGATCTGAAATATGGTTAAGTGTATTAATGTTAGATATTCATTCAACTACTACAAGGATGATTTAACTACGTAATAATAATAAATCTGCATTTACATGGAGATCAAATCAATCATAGAGAAAAATACATTGAACTAATTATTTACGTAATTCAATAATGGGGCGGTACAGTCATAAGCATATTTATAAAATTGATTAAATCATTATTGGTGATAAATGAACATGAATGTAACGTAAAAGTAATAGAACTTAAATGAAGTAGGAACTCAATAAATTATTGACAGTACTTCACTTTGATTTAGAGCGAGAGAGCGTTTTGTGGAGATCAATAGATATCAATAGATAGAGATCAATAGATATCAATAGATTGTGCGTATACTCGTAAGAAAGATTCGACATCTATCTGTATAAAGCGAGGATGGTCAAATGGTCAAACCGTTAATAATTTTCATGCACTTCTTGCTACATCATCGCGATAAACATTTTTTTCAGAGAGAGAGAGAGAGAGAGAGAGAGAGAGAGAGAGAGAGAGTGGAGAAAGTTTTAATGATTAATTAAATTATTTTACAAAGTAACGGGATCAAATAAATTTAATGAATTGTCCTATTAAATAAATTATTAAATCTACTTCACTCGAAGAGAGACAAAGTAGAAATCACCTCAAAATTGTTATCAACAATTTATTGAGTTCTCGTTACTTTGTAGAACAGTTCAGTCAAATATTAAAATCAGTCTGTTCTATTGTAGATTTATTTTATCGTGCTCATAAAGTATTTTTATTGACAATACAATTAAGTTCGTTTACCATCAATAATAGTTTAATCAATTTTATGAATATTTTATAGAAATAAATTCAATGTCTATTTAACACACAAGGAAGATATTAAAGGAAGTCAAAATTTTTCTTGACGCAACCTGACAGTTAGTTCGCCATATTTAACTTTGAGATTAAGTTGGTTTACGTCAATTCGAGTTGAATTTCCTGATTTTTTTTTACAGTATAGTAAAGCACCATTAAAAGGTGGTATCCTAGCATAATACTGTCTAAGAATCTAGATCTATAGTTTTAAAGGATCGGAAAAAAATCCAATTTTTCCGTGGATTTTTTCGGTTTTTTTCCCAAGGGTAGAAAAATTCATTTTGGAAAAATTCATGCGCGTTCGTAAAACTTACCACATTTGCTTCTCGGTTCTTTCCGTAAAGAAAATAATTGCGTATAGGGTACATAACGGGATAAGTTAATAGAAATTTTGAAATTGTATAAAAGATTGAGGTCGCATAATGTATTGAATAAAACATACAAAATATAGAGGAAAGTCGCCGATATTGACATAGGTCTCCTAAAGTGACATCCCCTTATTTCTCAGAAACTAACTATTGCACTTTATTAATAATAATAAAATCATGATCTGTTTAGCTAATTAAAGAAGTACAAACTCATAATTCGTATATTTGTGGCTTGTTTCTATACTAAATCAGTTAAAAACGAATTCTACGAATGCGAAAATAAAATTCTTACGATTTTCTTTTGCAAATTGCGTGGTTTAAATAATAGTGACTATATTATTGATAATATTACGTCATTTTAAATGCTTGTAGTTTCCTAAATCAGTTCTATTTATATTACTTTTTCTCATAGTCTTTTCATAATACGATTTTAAATTTAAATTGGGGTGCAGCGTAAACCGCCACATCTGTCTGTAAAACAGACTATGAGCTAACTTAATTTTTATAATGTTGCTTTATAATGTCAAATAAGTCTATTGGAGCTGAAGACAATCGTGCATATATGGAAAAACTCTTGAGAAACTATCGCATTAGATATTTGTATCTTGCAGAACAGCATAAAATAAATATATAAAAACTGCTTATACTATCTGATAGAAGACACTTTTCAATTTGTACTTACGTTTTTAAAGTTCTATTTTTACCTTTTGTTTAAGAAATATTGTCTAAAAACAAAGTGGTATGTAGGTATCGGTGACTTTCTTCTACACTATTGCACCATTAATGTAAAAATTAAAAATATAGAGTCCAAATATCATGTTTATATGATAATAGTAGGTCTAGAAAATAATTTGGATTTAAACTGAATTCGTAACAAAATATTTGAAAAAAAATAAACTACACAAAGGGACACTTCAAGAGTTCATCAGACCGGAGTGTGACAAACTAGAGTTAAATATTTGTCTACTTAAGCTTTGCCATGTACTAAAGGAAGGTTAGATTAGGTTTTACTATAAAAATAGAAGGATAACTAAAAAATTTTAATAAAAATAATGCTACATAATTTTATAAATCGCATTAATTTTATAAAGGAATTTAGAAGTTACTTATTATGTCTTTACATAGCAAAAATAGCAATTTTTCCAAAAAACCAATTTTTCAGAAAAAAACCGGAATTTTTCCATTTTTTTTTCCAGCAATTTGAAAAAAGCGGCTTTTTTAAAACTATACCTAGATCCTGAACAGAGTTTATGTATATAGAAAATATATAGAAAAGTATATAGAAAAGAGTATATGTATAGGAAAGAGAAATATGTAAATTTATTGATTAATGTACATTTCATTATTGAGCAATAATCGACGAATGTTCTTTTCTCAGTTCCTCACAACAATTAAATAACAATTGACACATATTGTGTGATAACACGCGTCAATTGTAATTTGATTATCACTGTTTTATTTTGTATTTGCACAATAGATAGCGTAAACGATAGCATTAATATGTTATTTTATCTAACATATTAACATTTTGTACATTTATTTACTGTTATCAAATTTAAATAATTTTTTTTATTCATACCAATACCATCTTTGCTGCAGGAATTAGAAAAATGGATGAATGATAGCAAAGATGGTTTCATCTATTTCACTTTTGGCTCGATGATGATGATTGAGACGTTTCCACGAGAGTTCCTAAGAGTGCTTTATGCCTCCTTAGGCAAAATAGCACCCATCCGGGTTATAATGAAGATACCAAAGCCGGAGAAACTACCATCCGCTTTGCCCAAAAACATTTACATTTCCCCTTGGATGCCACAAATTAAAGTATTGAGTGAGTATCAAAAAGACAAATACACGAATATAAGTTTTACGTTTCTCTGACATTTTATTTTTACATAAAATTTAAATATTGCGAATATTTGTAAATACCTAATTGTAAGTTGTCTTTTCTGAATTAAGGAAATTATAAAATTGTCTAATATGCCGTAGAACATCCTAACATAAAAGTCTTTATCACTCACGGCGGGCTCATGGGCACGCAGGAAGCGGTAGCATGCGGTGTTCCCATGATCGGTATACCACTCTTCGCCGATCAGTTTACAAATATCGACAGATATGTCGCTAGAAACATTGCCCTGCGACTGGACATTAATACAATTACCGAAAAAAGCTTCGACGCAGCCTTAAACGCGATCTTACGGGATCCTCTATATAGGTATGTAGACTCATATCTTGCGTATTATTATTAGACAAGAACATATTTATGCAACGATAAAATCTACTAATATAATGGACTCTTAAAATTCAAACAAACTTGTAAGGACAAATGAGAGTAAATAACTGAGCGGTAATTATAGTGTTACTATGCTATTATTATAAAATATAAAGTGTATTTACAATTTCATTACATGTAATGAAATTGTAAATTATAAATTGGGAATTATTTACTCTCACATGTCCTTTCATATCTTCTTATTTCTACAATATAATATTTGTATTTAATATTAATATTCGTTTTCTTGAATTTGTATGCATCTATGTTATGTTATTTTTAACGATAGTTTAATTGAATGTATTTTTATAATTCATCTCTCAGAGAAACTGCGCGAAAATTGTCCCAACGATTTCTTGATCGGCCATTGAACGCTATAGACACTGCTAATTATTGGATCGAGTACGTTATTAAGTACGGCGAGGATTCTCTGCGATCGCCCGCGATGGATCTAACCTGGTGGCAATTATCCCTTATCGATGTCGTTGGATGTCTTCTATTTTGCGCAGCAATTATTGTCGCTACAGCAGTGTTCATTGTGCGTTTCGTGAAGGAAATGTCAAATGGAAATTATAACAATTTGTCGTATTCAAAAAAGATAAAATGATTATGTATTAATTAGAAATAAATATAGTATATATGTTAGTTTTCTATTTGTATCTTCGCGAAGGAATTTAATTGAAGGAGACATAAGGGGTATATATTTTTTAGCAACGTTTACAGATGATACAGTGTAACACAATGTACGATTCCGTGCTTTCATTATGACACAAATTGATACAATCGTACACAGCTGTATTTAATGTCGTCGTTTTATATCACTTCATAAATCCCAAATTTTTACATTTCATTACCACTTATTTTCCTAGAAGTGGATACTTTAATAAGAAGTTTCAAGTTTCGGATATATTCATGTTTATAAAATCTTTTTCTTTATTTCACTCTGAAGGTGAAATAAAAAAGCTAATTAATTAACTAAGTAAAAAAGGGATTAATCATAGATTAATCATAGTGAGCGCTCAGTGAGCGGTCGTCGCTTCTGAATGCACCCATTGTTTCAGCTATAAGTCGACACTGTGTATTAATATATCACACAGTATATGATTATGTTCCGTTGATGGAAACCTATAATAATGTCTTTCTTAATAAAGGTATTATTGAGGAGAAGTAAATAAAGGAGATTGCATTTTTATATACAAATCTCTTTGATATTCTCTAACAAATATTTATTAAACGTAATATAATTCTTTGACAGATATAGTTCTTCCCCCGTAGCTTAATCTTACTCGCAGAAGCATACGTTTATACAATGTTCCTCGTTATGTACAGACACATTTATATTAATTTTGTATTACACCAACAGGCAAATAAATATATTTGCACCTATAAAATCTAAGAGTTCATGTATTCTTTTTATTGTCATACAATTCCTCGGAGTTCTCTTGTTTCAGTGCTGAATTAATCACGGTGTAAGAAGAATAGGTGAACTAATTTCAAGGATGTGCCGTTGTTTAAAGTAATAACAACATTTGTGACCAATTAAAAATTGGCCTTAAATTTTATAAATTTTATAAAGCCAATATAAAACCGCTGTTCACTAATTGCAGAAATTATATTGCCCTAAATTATATTTAGTTATTTATTATACGCATTGTTACACCTGGTTTTTTTTATACATCATGGAATTGATCTCGAGCTCTGTTTACACTCTAATAGATTTCTATTATTGTATCGCATTTTCCTATATTATAAAAATTCCGAATAACATTTGAAAGCGGAGCATAAAGTACTTTTAGTCTATATTTAGTATCGGCAACAATTATCTGTAATGCGCAATAGCCTCCCGACGATTGCTCTCCGACTCTTTCTCGCGACTTAGCATGAAATCGATTAAACGCTACCAATTATGTTCTGCAGCATTACGCTAAATCGAGTATTATACGATTGCGTCTGTCGCGCGCTTCTTCGTCCTACCATTCGTGAGTATTAAAAAAGAAATACGCTATACAACAGTATGAATATCGTTTACCTTTACACTGGTGGCAAATATTCGTTACCCGCTGGTAAATTACTTTTTCGATAATCGTAGCCGTCATCGCTAGCGTCTATTTTAGGCTCGGGCGCATACATAGTTTGTTTCAGCCAGGTGATGTCAATGGGTGTGAATGTCGCTACCTAAAACAAGTACCGAAGAATCCGTAAAATGTTACGTAAGAAGCCTATTCTGTAATTCTTAACGTTCTGTAACGCTACAGTTAGACCCCTAAGATTGATAAATGTATTTTGGTAATACGGAAATATAAATAAAAAATGGAGAAATTAAAGATTAAATAAAGTCCATCAGACAAAGTTAAATTATTTGAGAGAAAATGATTTTTGCTTTCTATTATAATAAAATTATAATTTAACGTAGTTCTTGGAAATAAAATGGGGCAAAATATTTAATGACTATGAAAGTTATTTTAATACGAAATATATTGCCAAAAATTATGGCTGTAAAATTAGTTTCATTAGTTTTACCTGATTTGTGGGTAAACATCCAGTGTCTTGACTATAAATTCCGGCGATATGATAGGCTCCGTTACCATTGTAACAAGCCAATGGAGCACCGACATCGGCCTGGCACATATTATTTTTTTCATGCGCTTTACCGCAGATTACATTATGTGCGACATTGATATGGGACTCCGCACCCAAGACGCGATTTTGACAGATATCGTGCGTCAGAAGATCCACATCGACCATGTGCATGATAGCACCCGCGTAATGAGCTGAAATAATATATTTGCAATAATAATCTCATTTTTAGACCGTACATGTGAGAAACACAATCGATAAATTAGAACCCTATATCGGTCGAAGCTAGATCTTAAAATACTTAAATAATTCAATCTTGAATCATTAAATATGCTACATATGTACTTGATATATATACCACACTTGTAGTCTAACAAACTGCGCGCCGAAAAATTTCCGAATTATATAAACGCAATTAAACTACTGTAGTAATCTCGCGAATTAAATTAATTGAGCCTGTTTCAGCATCGAATTTATTAGAAATTAGTCCGGAAATTTTTCGGCGCACAGTTTGTTAGACTACAAGTGTGGTATATATATTAAGTACATATATAGCATATTTAATGATTCAAGATTGAATTATTTAAGCATTTTAAGATCTAGCTTCGACCGATATAGGGTTCTAGTTCGAATATATTTGCATTTATGTAAAATTTATTTCATTCTTTTTCGCTACTTCACGCATTTTTAGCATAGCTTATCAAGAGTAATATTTCTTTTAAACGGTGGAAACGTCGGCACATTACCTTGCAGTATCGACTTGCCCCAACCCGTCACGATGCATTGTGAAGTTTCTTGCACTTGATAGTTATCGGGAAGACATAGTGTGTTGATATGCAAATTAAATGCCGCGGGATGTTCCAAAAGGAGCATAGCAGTATCGTTACCAGGCAATCCTTCCAAGTATCCAGGATGATATTTGATAGTTCGTACATTGATAATTTGGAATGGCAACGGCTCCTCTTGTTCAAGTTCGTATCCCAGTTTCCATTCTCCGAGTTTCACAGACAGTTCACTCGCTGGAAATCTGAGAGAATTTAAAGAAATGCCTTTAGTTGCTTAATTTAATCAATAGAAAAATTGGACCTAAAGGTAGACACGTCGGCAGGCAAATAAGAAAACAAGATTTTCTTAAAAGATATAATGTTTTTCGATTTTGCCTTTAAGTTCGCTTTATACGATTTATATTTCGCGACAGAATTCTATTTATAATTTTATATGTAATTTACCTACTCTCTAAATTATATGGAGTGGAATCTTACTCTAAAGAGTAAAAATTGAGCTAGTCTTGAAAAAGAGCTCAATTTTCAATCTTTAAGAGTCAGATTTCATTCTTCAGAGTACAAGATTCACTCAAAAAGTTTTAAAGAGTAAATTTGCAGAAAACATTTGAATTGTGAAGAATTAAAATGCGCTCATGTATCAAAATCGGCGCGCGTTATAAAAAAAATAAAAAATTTTAAATAAAAATTGCATTGCAATAACACTAAAGCGCTTAAAGTGAAAATGACCTATTTACGCAGCAGGTAGCTGTCACGACGATATCTGAATGGAAATATTGGAATTTTAAAGAATTAAAATGCGCTCATGTATCAAAATCGGCGCATGTAAAAAGATAAAAGGTTTTAAATAAAATTTGAGCATTGCAATAGCATTAAATCGCCTAAAGTGAAAATTACCTATTTACGCAACTGGCAGCTGTCAGGACGATTTCTGATGATATCAAGGCACCAGAACACAAAATCTTACGTTCCTCCGACCACAAAATCATCGCTTGCCATGGAATCTCTCCGAATGCCGCATCGGTCTCTCTGAAGCCGGTCGGGCGTTGTCCCTTTTATTGTACACAGATACAAATAAAATATCCAGTCTCATGTTATAAATAAGACCTTCTTCAAGCACTTTTATAATGTTAGAATTCTCAGATTGCGTATTTTTTTTTATTACTACATTAAATATTAAAAGTACTATAAGACATAATTTATAAACGCCTCTAAGCAAAATCATTCTCACGAGAGTAATTTTATCGTGATACTTACGTAATTTCTCACTCCACATGGATTGTTAGGCAATTGCAATTCCGGTACGATGGGAGGGTCACTTGGAGTATTGAACGGCGCGGGGCTGCTGATCGGGGGCGCTATTGGAATCGGAGTTGAGATTGGTAACACGCGTTGCGGGATCACATCGGAATCGTCCGGCACCAAGGGTACAACGTTTGTGGGCTGTAGTTCCTCTGGAACCTGCGGCGGCGCGACGGATGGTTTGATCGGCAACCTGGGAATCGTCTTGATGGGTGGCTGTATGATCGGCTTCTTCGGCGGTTGTATCTTCGCAATGTTCAAGAACGTCGGAAAGCCTTGCTCGTCGAAACCACCGGTGTAGTTGGCTGGCAAATTGCCCGTCGGCCACGGGTCCACGTAGTTCGGATCGCGGCAACACTTGCCGACTGCTCCGGTCTCCGAGATTCTGCAGCTCTGCGAAACGAACAACTTATAATGCGATCCAATCTATTTTTCTTAATCGACGCATTTTATCTTTATTTGACTATTTAAGATATTTTTATCGTCGACAATTAATGATTTGAACCTTGTATCTAATATCAAACAAGTGCTTCTAATCATTTCCGTTCGATAATTAAAGAAGTTTTCCATGCTTAAAAAAAGTGGAAAGAAGTCACGTAATTTTTCTTATCTTAATGCAAAATGCATTATCATTTTCTAAAGAATAGATAATGAATAAAATTTAAGCAATAAAACTATAATTTTCCATTAAAAGATATTTTCTTTATAATAAAAATAAATATTTATGTGTAAAAATATCGAAGAAAAATTGTTTATAGTAATTATTTAAATTTAGATATTGATAATTCTGATGAAAACGACGTTATCACGTTTTCACTAATGTGACATCATATTTAAATTAATGTAATTAAAATAATTCATGAACATTTTATATTTTTACACAAAAATGATATAAACTTCATTTTTTTAATTCCAAAATATTCTTGTTTAAATCTTATTCTTTTATATTCACATAACTTCAAAATTTTTATATTTTTATATTTTATTTACAATGAAATTAATTAAACCTCTCTTTCTTATAAGAATTTTAGCTATTTTAGAAAATTATTTAAAGAAAACTATATAATCAAAAAATCTGAAAAAATTCAGAAATGTTTACATATTAATTATAAACTTTTCAATCCAAATTCCTATATTGAAAAAAACTGGAAAATCTTAAAATGTCTTCTGACTAAAGTGTCTTTTATACTGCTTACGCTTAACGGAACACGTCGTAGAAGTTCCTTGCTGCTAAGCGCAACTGGTTGCGGACTAATCGTTCCTTCTAACGTACAGTACTGTTCTTCTACGCAGAGCAGGGCGGCCGCACATCCCATATGAACCGTAAATTGGAAGACAGCGGGATTCGGGTTCGTAGGGGCAGATTTTAATGGGAAGACTGGTTCGTTAGCACTACTATCACCTACAATGCCAATTCATATTAATACAAAGAAAAAAAAAAGAAATATTGAAGAAGATACCAACGTGTCATCGCATACCTATTTGATACTGTTCCTGTTGATTCGTATCGGAGGGTATGTGATTGTAATCGACTGGTATCTCTTCGACCGGCCTTATGTTAATATGAGGCTGATTAGCAGACTCGATATTGAATCTATTATCTGATGGGGATTGCAGTACGATGTTGTTTTCTAACGGAGGCTTCAATAATTCGGTCACGTCTGCCTGATTATTATCTCCGAATGGAACGTATTTCTCATCGTTTTCCAAAGTAGGTTCCGGGTACTGATTGTCCTTCACTGCATTAATTGGATCGTTATCGTACGGATTATTCACATTATATTGCACGGTACAGCATACTTCGTGGCTGAGCTTGCACTCCTGCACCTGCGCACAAATATTAGAAGATTATTAAGTCTGAATTGCGAGTTGAGTTCGATTAATATTAAAATGTAAACGGGAAAAAGTTATTAATATCGAAGAAATAATAAATATCATTTCTGAAATTAATTCATTTAAATGAATTTACAATAGTTCAACATCTTAACGTTCTGACCGTTATGGCGCTTCTTAATTTAATATTATTATGTTTAACATTAGCGGTCTTTCAATCTTAATATCGAAGAAATAATAAAAAGAGGCTGTCTCACCTGTCCTGGCCGAATAAAGCCTTGCTTCAAAGGCTGCACATACCCGTTAATGCACAAACCTTTGGCTACGCAGATTTTATTTTCACCGCTGCAACTGATGGTGAAACCATCTATGGCGCTAGAATAGGACTGCAACGTTTGATCAGGTTGATATGCATAATCAAAATTAAGTTGCTTCTGTGATTCTGAAGAAGCATGCGTTTGGTATCCTTCGAACGTATCTGCAACCATAACATTATGACGATATAATAAATTAAATAAATTATTTTATTAAATAAACGAAATAACGTAATATTAGACTTACTTTGCTGCGATTGGTCCCAATTAAATTGTGTTTGATCAATTTGTTCTGAAACAATATTATCTTTGTAAATAAGATAGTTTTGAGTTTGAAAAATGTGATCATCGCCGTACCAGGCGTGTTTGTCTTCTGAAATGCGACTTCATTGAAAATAATTGCGTGACTGACTTTTTTTAAGATACTAACTCATAATTTCTTTTAAATATGAAGCACCTTAAATTACGAGGCAAAATGTTAGCAAATATAAACAGAAAGGTGACGTTTTTTCATCATAAAAAATTTATAATGAAAAATTATAAAACAACTTAATATGAAATTATTAAGCTTGCGATATAGATAAAAAAATTAAACACGCATCAAATTCCCAGTCTGTATACTCACGTGTCTGCAATTGAGGTGGCAATTCTCTATAGGGGAGTCCACGTGCGTGCGTAGCTAACGCTACTATAACTAGTAGCATTTCTAGCAGTGGTATCATCGTGTAAATCTAAAAGAGTAAAAAAAGCAATATTTGTAAATAGTTATCCCGAACTTTATATAATTCAATCATACGGCGAACGAGTAAATAAACGGAGATTTCATTAACGTCAATTCCACGTCTCGCGTGACGTCTACGAAAAAGAAAAAGGAGAGAAGAAAAGAGACAGAAAGGAAAGAATTTTTGCCCGCCTCTCGTAGTGGTGGTCGTGACTGGTTCTTCTCGAATATCTCGTATCATATGGGATGTAAAAGTGTGCAAACTTTTGCAACAACGCTTTTTTTTCCCCCGACGCGCAGGCGGCACGGTAAATTATTTTAAGACCGAGAAGAGTGATCGTTGCGCGAAGGTATTATATTATAATTTTATTACACTTTAGCCCGTTTTAGCAACCACTGACCCGAATACAGGGAACAGAACGTTCTAGAACAGCACCAGGATGCTCCGAGCTTCTAGCGGGAGATCGCGGCGAAGGATTGTGGCTGCAAAAGTTGTATGCTTCTGCAGACAACGTGGGAACAAGGCTTCACGTAGGAGTAATTCATTCATGATGCATCCGCGATCTTCAGCAACACCGATGAGATATAAATTTATGCGAGAAAACGCCGTGGGGATATAAAGTGAGACATAGGCCGGTCTTCATAATCAGTTCTTATTTTAAGACCATCATAAGTCTTAGACGCTAATGCGTCTCTTTGGCCGGTATTCATAGTCAGATCTTATATTTAAGACCGTCTTAAGTTCTGTCTTGAGGTGTCACGAACCAATCAGAGGGCCGCATTGGCATCTTAAGACATTACTTAAGACGGTCTTGAAATAAGAACCAACTATGAATACCGACTTTTGGTTTATGACATCTTAAAATGGTCTTGAATATAAAAAAAGTCGATTATCGTTACCGGCTGTAAAATACTGCCCGAAATAACCATTTTCTTTTATTTTTTTTCTTTTTACGCAGTTGCACATATAATGATCGACATCAGCAAAAGAAAATTTCGGACCTGAGCAAAAAATAACTTATTTAAATGTCACGGCTTTTTATCCGTTTAATATTTCAAATTTTTAATGAGAACTTTGTCTATCCAAGTAGAAGTTAATGACCGAATCGCAAGATTTACGTTTTGCGATATATGAGAGAGAGAGAGAGAGAATCTACAATCTACATAATTTTAATATAATCTATAAATATTGCCTGATATTATCTCAGAATCTCGCAATACGTACAAATTGCCACGCGAATGATATATTGTATAATCATATATGCAAACATCTCGAGATGATTATTCTTGAATGACATTTGGTTCATGAAGTCCGCGACTGAGTGACAAGAAATGATTTTTAATACACCTTGTATGTTATTTCTAATATTACGTAAACACGTGGGCTGGACAGATATCAATGGCGAGGCGTATGAATAGGAACACTTTCATATTCTTATCGTCTGATATTTTCTAACGATGAAATAATCGCGTTCAAGGATCTTCAAGCGCTCTGCTGTTTGCTTATTTATGAAAATTATGCGATATGCCCGAACCGCGTATATCGTATCGATCCTTATTTACATGCCCGCCGACTGTAGGTGCCATGCTGACATATGCCTTCTATCAATGACATCATTCCGCTGGATTAGGTCAGGTCAGGGTCACAAAGTCGACAAACGACATATCTTCTGTTGACGATGTGTGACAGTCAAAGTTCTGTTCAATTTAAGCTAATTGTGAAATTTTTTCATTAATTGTGTCTACTTACACTGAAAACAATGACTCATTTGAGTAAATTAATTTAGTTATCTCTTTTTCTTTCATTGGAGAATGTACATATGTATTTCAAATATAATATGTTTGACTTTTAAAATTTAAAATACATACATTCTTCACATATCAAAAGAAATAAAAAACGAACTAAATTAATTTCGGAGACGAAATTGAAACAACAAAATGTAAAAGAGGTTTACTCTTTTTTTACGTTTCGTTGCCTTAATTTTCGTCTTCTACAAGTTTTACTTATGTTTCTGCCATTCTACTCTTTGAGCCTACAGTAAAATCATAAGCCGTAAGCTGTAAGAAACTATAATCACAATCGATTATTTTTCTCATATTCAACTATAATTGGCCAATTTCTTACGGCTTATGACTCGCGACTCTGTTATAGAATAGGCATAATACATTTGACTCACATTCCAATCCTAATTTTTGCCAGGATTGAAAAAAAATTAAATTTGCAATTGGACCCAATGTTTTAATTGTGGAATATTATTCTCATTAATGAATAATACGCGTTAAACGAACGTAAAATATTCGGCTATGTCGACAAAGGTTGATTAATATGCACCCATGTGTTACCGGATTACGCGCGAACATCTATCTTGAGCTATCAAAATTTCATGAGTCATTCTCTTGTGTATCTCGTCGCAAAAAAAGTCACTGTGGAATTCAGAACCGACGCGATGAACTCATTATGGATTTCCCCCAGTCTCGTAGGTTTCCGATGATCTAAGGATATGCTTTGCAATTCAGCGCGTAAACGGTTTGCGTGAGAATGACTCGTGCAAATTACACGCTCTTCGCGCCTAACATTTACCGTAAAAAATTCAATACGACACGCTCATCAAATATGTTAAGTTTAAATGATGACTCTTCGCGTTTTTGTTTTTTTTTTTCGAGATAACTTCTACAGTTACAATTGTATATAAGAAATGCTTTTTTCGTAGGAATTTAGGAAGAATCATTTGGGTGAAATCAAATTCCTCTGGTTGATATCAGTAATTAATTAAAAAAATATTTGAATCGCTTTCTATTTCTTTTCACTTCCTACGTGTAAGTTTTTCAACACCCACTATAGAATAAATTGTAGTATTATTTATACGTGACGAATGTGGAATAGAAAGAGATATATATTTCTAGATATAATCTATTAAGAAATTAAATGAATAGTAATGACTTATTTATAATTTATATAGATATATAGATGGCTTTGGCTATTTATATTTTTTTACTTTTTGCTATTGACAAAAATTGATTGATCCGGATGTTTGTAATTTTTTCTTCCAGGCTTTCGCGACGTCTCGCAACCGAAATATTTGCTTTCAACTTTCGAGCCTAAGGTACTGCTTTCCGGTTGTTAAGGCGGCGATAAAAATAATAACACCGATCGCGAAGGATTAACGGCGCCATGTTCTGACCGGGAGAAAGTATACGAGGTGTAGCCGAAACGCTGAAAATTCACGATGCGTTCGATTTCCATGATAAGCGCCACTGGTGGACAACTGGACACCGGGCAGGGATTCCGATCGTCAAATATTCCTTTGCAAATGTATCCCCGGCCGCGTACTTTCACGTATACATTAGTGCTACTACTTTCTCTTTCATTGAATTACGCAGATTACCCGAGTATCGCACAAATCAGACTTGTCGAATTTCGTGCATAATCCGGCGACCGTCCTAATGACTCGAAGTATGGAGCCGAATTGAAATTAAGATCCGGGTACGAAAGAGCTCTCTTATACGTACACATATGTATATTCTCTCGTTTAGCACAGAAATTGTTTGAAAATTCTTTTCTTTTTATTATCTTCTTCTTCTTCCTTTAACCCTTTCTCTTTCTCACTCTCTCAATCTCTTTTCCCTTCTCCCTCTTTCTGTTGCGACACGAAAACGCATAAATAATCCGTTGATTTTGACGCATTTCATCGAACGTTTTTGTAATGTGGGTGTAATATGCATACAGCGTAAATACTTAAATATTCACGTCGTCATTAATAACACCAATCACCGACCGAATAGCTGCCAAGTAGAAACTTACTTTCGATTTGTCAATCAATAAGTACTTTCACCGATACCCGATATCCCGATATACATAATTAATACGGCCATCGTAATTAACAGTCGGATATTGATTCGGTTATCGAGATGTATTTTCTTGCGAGCACTCACGGCATTCTTTCGGCAAAAGAGTAGATTATCCAGGTAATAAAAAGTATATATATTCAAATAATTATGGGTAATAAAATGGGTGATAAAAAAGAATGAATTTACTTTACGTCAACGAAATTACTCTGTAAAGGTTCTTTCCGGTTTTTAATTATAGAATTTTATAGCCTTAATTTTCAATTTATAATATATTAACAAGATTTCTCAATTGTTGTGCGTATTGTTGCATTTACCGTTCGATAGTTAAAATGTCAGATCTAAATGAGTTTTAAGCATTCTTTAAATTTTTTCTGTCTTTACTGCGGCATTTATAATTATTTTTCTAAATGTATATTTATACTAACAGGCAAATGAACCAAGAAGACTTTAACGTGTTCTTACAAATTTATATTCATTTTACGTCGTTATTTAAGTATCGTCAGGTAGAAGTTCTCTCGACGAAAAGGTAACTTCAAAAATACAACGTTTCTGTCAAGCCTTTCAATCTATTGGATGAAATGTCAGCGCTATGTGTCTGATATTTTGATTGCCTAGCACTTCATTAATCAAATAGAGGAGCATTTCTCCTTTTCTTGTAGCGGCTAATAAATGGGCATCTAATAAAGCTATAGATTGCTTTTTGTTGCGTCAGAGCGAATATTTCGAATCGGCTGTACGCTGAAAAAAAGAGTTGATCGTGAATATCATTTGATTTCCCTGTCCGATTACTTGTCTATGATACACTGTCAAATCAAATACGTAATAAGTGATTTTGTAACTTAGATCTTCGTGTAAAAAATAATACACTGTTCTGCAGCATATAAAAATGTATTTATACATTTAAGGATGTATGTGTCACATCTAAAAATAATATCAAAGTACATAAATTTCATGGACTCTTCTATTATTACGTTTGAATATCTGTATAAATTATAAGCACAATTCTCTTATTGATTCAAAAATTACTTAATTCTTTTGTTTGTCTTGATTCTGATATAAAATCGCGTTTTGTAATATTCACTTGTAAATTTAATGAGAAAGTAATATTACGAATTAAAATTTTTAAAACAAATTGTATATATATATAATATATATATATAT